CCAAACACTGCAAACATGAGGAGGCATGGAAAATCCAAAGAGCCTGGGGGAAATCCATCCGTGGAGGGGCCGTGAGTGTGTTCCAGAAACCACTGCGGGCCAGAGCCCCTGCTCTCCCAAGGCAGTGTCCAGGGACCAGGGCTGTTCCTGCTTCTCGTTTCCTGAAGCTCTTCCTTAGCAATTCCTACAAACAAAACTTTATTTTATTCAAAATCACGTGAAAAGGAAAAAAAAATCTTAATGTTGCTTGAAGGGAGGGGGGATCTTTCCCAGCTGCTGGGTACTTCCATGAGGGTGGGCTGCATATTTTAGCAGTACGGTAAGTATGCGTCCTTCTAAAATAGTTGCCATAGAAACACAACTTCCCTCCCTTAAAGGCAAGGGTATTCGCTGTAGTCAATCCCCACCGATGTCTAACTGCACAAGTTCAGCATCGCCGGGGAGGGGAGTGCGATCCCACTGGCTGTGTATTTAAACACTCTCAAACACGCAGGTGCCAGCAGGGGCGGAGCCATGGGGGAAATGCTCTCCTTCCAGAAGTTTGTGCATCCGGTGACCAGACGGTTGGTCTACCCAAACCAGCCCTCAACGAGGGGACGGTGATGCGGCTGCAACTCCACGCCAGCTCCCGGCTGACAGGAGGCAAGGAGGGCTCTGAGGGCTCGTGAGGGTGTGTTCTGAGCAAGGGGGCAGGAGCAGGGTAAAGCAGTGCATAATCGGACCCAGGCTCAGTCCTCACTCCCAGCCCAGCTTTCTGCTACTGCAGACCCTGGGAGGCGGCAGGTCCATGGCTCAAGTACCTGGCTCTGTGCCACCACAGGGGATACCCGGATGGAGTTCTGGTTCCTAGCTGCTGTGGCCATCTGGGGAGTGAACCAGCAAAGGAAATCAATCTCCCTCTCTCTCTCTCTCTCCCTCCCTCCCTCCTCTTCCCCCTCCTCCCCCTCTCTGTTGCTCAGCCCTTCGTGTAAATAAATACACTTTAAGAAGCAATCTTTGGGCACACTGCACAGCATTTTAACGGCACAGTAAAGAAGGTGATGCAGATTCTCAGGTCACGTTAAAGCCTGAGGCCCAGCTTCCCCACGTCGCCATTTCTGCCTCCTGTGCGGGCGGCAGCTGCCCATCATCTCAGTCATTCTGGAGAAAACCCAAGGAATTTCTCTCAAGCGTTTGTCCGGATTGCACCACACGTGGCCCCCAGGGACCTCGGGGCTCCAGCCTGTGCCTGCTGGTTCTGCAGAGCCACTGAGCCCATCAAGAGCCACACTGCTTCTGCTCCAAGCCAAGCAAGATAAAAGAGGCATGCGCGGCTCCGACACGGCTCAGCCCGTGGGTGGGCATTGCACAAGAGGAAGGCTTGTCCTCTGCGTCAGCCTCGGGAGAGCCAGCGAACTCCGTGGCAAGCAGACGGCGGCTCCCTCCGCTCCTTGTGTTGCTTTCTCGTCAGAAACTTGGGAACAGTGGATCTTGTCTCGCTGACCACAGGGCCTGGGTGCACCGCGGCCCACCTGGGCGATGCAGTTGCCAAGATCACATCCCTGGAGCAGAATCCTGGGAAAAGTCAGTCCTGACCGCATTCCTTAATCTTAGCAAGGTTCGACTGCTAGCAGTCATTGACTAAGGCAACAGGAAAAATCGTCGGGCAGACTGGAGAGCTGTGGGGGTACCCTTGCTTTTCCATAATAAAACATTTGGTAAAACTGTCACTTACCCTGTCAAGGAAGGGGAGCCACGTGTCTCCAGGTGAACTGGTTGGGAAAATGCAGACGACCCTGCCCCCTTGACTGCTCCTTGTGGCTTTTCACAGGGACTCTTGCCTTGGGCAAGAAGCGTGGAGTTTGCTTGGAGCGAAGAAGGAAGGTGTGGGGCTGAGATTCCAGTGTTCTCGGTGGGTCTCTGCAGGGGGCTGCACCCTACAGTGAACCAGTGAGGATTCCTCCCCGCCCCCAGCACACACACAGTGTCAGAAAGATGACCATGAAAGAGAAAATCCCAGGAAGCAGTAGACCCAGCGCAGGTCCCACTACTGGGATATGGAAAGCGCGAGAGTGGCAATAATCCGGAATAAAAATTTGCACCCGGTGTGGCCAAGGAAAAGGTCCCCCCTCCATCTGGAATCAAAACACAGAGTGAGAGTCAGTGAAACCATTGCTTGTTTTGTTTTGTTTTTGTTTTTTTAAGATTGATTGATTGATTTGAAAGGCAGAGTTAGAGAGAGACAGAGATCTTCCGTCTGCTGATGGAAGATGCCACAGCAGCCAGGGCTGGGCCGGGCTGAAGCCAGGAGCCTGGAGCTCCATCCGCGTCTCCCACACGAGTGGCAGGAGCCAAGCACGTGGGCCATCCTCTGCTACTTTCCCAGGTGCATTAGCAGGGAGCTGGATTGGAAATGGAGCAGCCAGGGCTAGAACCAGCATCCATAGGGGATGCTAGTATTGCAAGTGGCAGCTTAACCAGCTATACCACAATGCTGGTCCCTGAAGTTAACTTCTTAAACTTTATTTTTTAAGCCCCAGGTTTCTACCCCAAGTGGGTTGCAGTCTCTGTTAATTCACAGTCTCAAGAAAGAGAATCCAATCCACCACTGGCCAACTGCCTGAGTCAGTGACTGTCCCTCCTTTACTGACAGGATGACCTAGGGGTGCGTGTCTGCATGTGCGGGCTGCCTGGGGGTTACCCACGCGTGGGATCCCTTGGTAGGTACAGCCCTGCCAGAGCTGCAGATGGGGATGTTTTCCCTGGAAGGCAGTAGAAGAGACAGGCAATAAAGTCCACCCAGCACAAGACTGGGCCTTGGAGAAAAGTCTGGATTCTTTTGCAGACATTTGCAGAAACCAAAAAAATAAACCACTCCTTAAAAACCACAATTATTGTGACATGTAAGGCAACTCCCCTGCCTCAGTTCCAAACCAATCTGTTCCTAAGGCCGAGATAACATTTTTGCATGGCTACTGATTTTGAATTACTTGGAGAGGACTGTGCGTAGCATGATTTCAGAAATGGATTACTGACCTTTGTTCTGACAGGGAAGGCTGCACCAGGAGATCACAAGACAAGGAGACCAGTTCCTCGAGGGACAGCTTGAAACAGTCCACACCGTCCACATTCACCCTGGCCAGGGATGTGAGAAGCCTGTCTTCATTTTGTCAGGCAACTAAGATTTGGAGTTGACACATTCAGGCAACTTAACATAAAGAATGCACGTGGGAATGAGATGTGTTAACACCATTAAAAAAAAGTCTTAGAATGAGAGAAACAGACACACACACACACACACACACATCATCCACCTGCTGGTTAACCCCCCAAATGGCCACAATAGCCAGGCCAGAGCCAGGAGCCTGGAACTCAATCCAGGTCTTCCACAAGGGTGGCTGGGAGCCAAGTACTTGAGCCATCATCCGCTGTTCTCCCAGGCGCATTAGCAGGAAACTGGATCAGCAGCAGAGCCGCTGATCCCACAATGGGATGCTGGTGCCACAGGCAAGGGGCTCAACCTGCTGGGCCACCATCTCTGTTTCCAAGCCTGGCTTGTACGTGCACTCCCCAAATCTGGATAGGATGTAAACATGTTTCTGTAAGTAACTGAAGTCAGCTTTTCAACGACGCTCTCAGCTTCTGTGTTTGCAAAGATCTGGAAGGACTGTCCTTCGCGTTCTGTGTTGTTCGCAGGATAAAAGTCAGAGCAAGAGTAGAAGGTGATTTCTGTGACTTCTCAGATTTCTGATGAACATGGAATGCTTGTAATTCTTACGGGGTCCAGGGTCATATTTCAGTGCTTGCCTAGGGAATAAGCCGGCCAGATCAGGCGGCCAGCATTTTCACTCTTTTATCTCTGTGCCTGCAACCCGCCAGCTCCTCCCTCTGGTTGGTCCCTCAGCACTCAACGCCCTATTGTGAAACATACAAGCCCCACTGTTCTGTGCAACTAGTGCTCTGTCTACTTGGGGTTTTTTATTTTTACTGTTAAAAGGCAGAGAGGGAGGGAGGGAGTGAGAAAGAGAGAGAGAGAGAGAGAGAGAGAGAGAGGGAGAGAAATATCCCACCCTCTGGTTCACTCCCACGACAGCTGAGACTGGCCCAGACCAATGCGGGGAGCCAGGAACTCCATCCGGGTCTCCCACGTGGGAGGCAGAGGCCCAAGTACTTGGGCGGTCACTGCTGCCTCCCAGGGTGCAGGTGAGCAGGAAGCTGGAGCTGGAGGTGCACCAGGGCTTGTCCCAGGCACCCCAATAGGAGACACCGCTGCATTACAAGAGGTGTTTGACCGCTACACCAAACGCCCGCCCCTGCGCTTGGATACCTGTCACTCAACTTTCCCTGGTATTTTGTGTTTCCATGTCTTACTGCATTTGCCTAGTTTAAACTTTCATAAAAGAATCCTTTCCTTCTTAGATATTTGTAAGTTTTTATTTCTTATTTTGAGTTGAAGACATCTCTACTTACATATTCTTTAATAAAATTATGTAATCTTACAAAAAGTAACTTTAGAGTTCACAAAAAGATAAATAAAGAAAAAGGAGCCTATTTCAGTGAACAGGCAGAGTGAGCTAGGGAACCAGGCGGACGGGCAGAGGTCTCCGGAATCCACCTGCCGGGGCAGGGGTACTATCTGGCCACCGTGGACGTGCCTTCTGTGCACAGTCGTCTCGACTGTGTAAGTTCTCTTCTCGCTTTTTCTTCCTCTGACTAGCAGCCCTCCACCGTGTGCAGTGCTGAGGGCATGACAGTGTTTGTGGCGGGGAGAACCTGCAGGGAGTGTTCTCAGGGGCTCGGGAACCACAGGTGGGGAGCGCCGCAGAGTTCGAGAAAGTGGACGCGGCTCTTTCTGATGCGAGGCGCCACCCGGCTTTAAGACCTGTGTTCTCTGCATTGTGTCACATAGACCAAAGGGGGAGCTGACGGTATTCTTTCAGGGCCCAGAACACGAGTGTGAAAACGGGAAACAAGTCCGTTGCCACCGTCATCATTGTCACCATCATAATGAACTGCGTTATAGAACTGGGACACAAAGCCTCAAACTTTAATTGGTTTAAATGTGGAAAACACGACGCTAGCAGAAACAAAGCGCTTCTCCTTTAAGGTGAGTAATTCAACTACTCTTTAAACATTGCCTAAGCCTTGTAAGACTACTCTTGATTTTTGGGGGGTGTTTTCCTCTTTTTTTAAGTTGCAGTTTAATTTCCTAGCTTCCACGTTTCCTACGCTGGCTGGGAGAACTGTGCCTCGGCAGCGCGCTACTGTTTGTTGGCGATGTAAATGATCTTGTGTTTCTCGATGACCCCGATGTCGTGTTCCAGCTGCTTCATCTGCTCTTCCAGCTTCTGCTTGCGGACCTTCTTCGGGATGGAGTCGATGAAGACCGAGAACGACTGGAACTCCTTGTGCACCTCCTCCCAGTTCTTCTTCAGGCCCTGCGGACGGTAGGGGAAGCAGTGAGTACGAGAGCTGCCAGGGTCTGGCCAGCAGGAAAGACCCGGCGCCCGCAGGGAGCCGCAGCCGGGCCAGGGACGCCCGGGGCAGGGAGCTGTGGCCACCGTCACAGAGTTCTGCGCCGGGGTCCCACCCTGCACTGCCTGCACACTCTGTTCCCACGGGCGGTGTTTACTCCGTGTTTCCCAGGTCGTGTGTTTGTTTTGGACCACCAAATGCGCGCGTGCCGAGTTACGAGTTCTGCAGGACTAAGCTTACAGCAAATACTCTGGTGCACGAACAAGGAACTGAGATGCCCCGAATTAAAAAAAAAAAAAAAAAGCACATTTGTGCGGAATTTATTTCTTATAAAAATTTACTTCCAAAATTGTCTTTTTGTTGTTGTCATTTTTTTTTTAAGATTTATTTTATTTGAAAGTCAGAGTTACAGAGAGAGGTAGAGACAGAGAGGTCTTCCATCTGCTGGTTCATTCCCCGGCTGGCTGCAATGGCCGGAGCTGTGCCAAACTGAAGCCAGGAGCCAGGAGCTTCTTCCTGGTCTCCCACGTGAGTGCAGGGGCCCAAGAACTTGGGCCATCTTCTACTGCTTTCCTAGGCCATAGCAGAGACCTGGATCGGAAGTGGAGCAGCCGGGTCTTGAACTGGTGCCCATATGGAATGCTGGGGCTTCAGGCCAGGGCGTTAACCCGCTGCGCCACAGCGCTGGCCCCTGTTGTCATTCTTCAGCAGGGACATCAGAGACTTGATTGAGTCTCATGTGGCCGGGTGTTCTTAGGTTTGACAAAACAGGATCGGAAAAAAACTGCCAGGGTCCAGTTCCACCAGGACAGTCTTCGATGCATCCTCTGCGTACATTACAAAGAGCTAATCCCTCTCCCCATCGTCGCGGGGTTGGTACTTGCCACGAAGGGGTTCTAGAATGGACCGAGTGTTTTGTCGTCTGGGGCCTCCTGGGGGCAGCGAGGGTGGCTGGTCCCCATCACCGTGCACCAGGAGGCCCTGCTGACAACATGCTCTTACACTGCTCACCACACCCATTCACTGATTTGTCTGTCTGTTTTGCGGAAGCAGAGAGATGGAGACAGACAGAGCCTTCGTGGGTGGCAGGGGCCCAACGACCTGAGCCATCGTCACTGTCCCCCAGGGTCTGCCCTGCCAGGAATGTGGAATCGGGAGCTCATACCTGAATCCAGGAACTCTAAAAATGGGATGTGGGTGTCCTAATGGTTAACTTAACTCCTAGGCCAAATGCTTGCCCCCAAATTTTATAAACTAACACACGTATTATTCAGTATGACAGCACAGATCCTTTTATTTTCACAGAAACAAATAGCCAAGTAGAAGGGCAGGCATCTGGTGCAGCAGTTAAGATTCCACTTGGAGAGACCAGCGTTGTGCTGCACTGGCTTGGGCCACCACCTATGATACTAGGATGCTCGTAACCCTAATCAGAGCGCCAGTTCCAGTCCTGGCTGCTCCACCTCCCATCCAGCGCCCTGCCAATGAGTTTGGGAAAAGCAGTGCTGGATGGCCCAAGTGCTGGAGGCCCTGCCACCCGTGCGGGAGACCCTGTTAGAGTCCTTGGCTCCTGGCTTTAGCCTGTCCCAGCCCTGACCATTGCAGCCATTTGGGGAGCAAACCAGCGGATGGAAGATGTCTTTCTCTGTCTCTTCCTCTCTCTCTCTCTGTAACTCCACCTTTCATACAAATAAATCTTTTTAAAAAGATGCCACTTGGAACATCTGTACTTATTATCAGGGTGGGTTCAGAGCAGGCTCTGCTGATTCCAGCTCCCTGCCAATGCACCTGGGAGGCTGCAGTGATGGCCCCTGCACCCACGTGGGAGACCCAGATGGAGCTCCAGGCTCCTGTCTCTGCCTGGCCCAGCCCTGGCTGTTGCAGGCATCTGGGGAACTGAACCAGCAGATGGACGATCTCTCCTTCTCTACTGTCCCTCTGCCTTTCAAATAAACATAAATCTTTTTTTTTTTTTTAATGAAAGAGGGAGGGGGGTTAGCAGTTCTTGGATGTGTATGTGGCGTATTCCAGAAGGAAGTCCTGAAAGAGCCGTCTCCCTGCAGTCTTTCCTGTGGAGGAGAAACGCATAGGTGTCTGTGCCCGGGCGCTCACGTATACTGAGGTTCTCACGGCCAGCCCACTCTGTCTTCTCCCAGGGTGGACAGTGGGCTTCTATCTCCCAGGGTGGACGGTGGCACATGGGCAAAGTCAACAGCTAGGGCTGGAAACCAAATCTCACTCCTGCTCCCCAGGAGTGGGACGTGTCCTGCCATTCTGAGACTTTGCTGTTGTTTCATAATAAAAGGCCTCAGCTGGCACCACGGCTCACTAGGCTAATCCTCCGCCTAGCGGCGCCGGCACACCGGGTTCTAGTCCCAGTTGGGGCACCGGATTCTGTCCCGGTTGCCCCTCTTCCAGGCCAGCTCTCTGCTGTGGCCCGGGAGTGCAGTGGAGGATGGCCCAGGTGCTTGGGCCCTGCACCCCATGGGAGACCAGGAGAAGCACCTGGCTCCTGCCATCGGATCAGCGTGGTGCGCCGGCCGTGGCAGCCATTGGAGTGTGAACCAACGGCAAAGGAAGACCTTTCTCTCTGTCTCTCTCTCTCACTGTCTAACTCTGCCTGTAAAAAAAAAAAAATAAATAAAAAAATAAAAGGCCTCTCGTCCGCTGTAGCAGTGGTGATTCTCCCACCCCCCGCCCCCCCTTATGATTCACTTCTTCATTCTTCTCGCTTCTATTCTAGTGCTGAGACGAGGATGCTATGATGTGGGAAACACTTCACACGGGGAGAAGTGGGCCTGTTGCAAAGTCTTTCGGTTTCTCGCTTCTTTTGTGCAGCCCTCCACCCACACTCTGAGCCTTCTTGCTCTGTGACGGGGTGGGATGGGCGTTGCCCGTTGTGGGCGGCCCCTGGCTCTTTCAGCATTCAGCCCACCCCTCCCTGGCCTGGGCAATTGCTCCAGCCACTCCCCTCGTGTCTCTGGCCACCTCTCCCCGTTTCCCATCCCTGCCCTCCAAGCCTCAGTGGACATGGATGCCCGCTGTCCTGGCTCCTGCATTTCCCAGGGCCCCTGGTCAGTTCCCCCTTTCCTGCTGGAGCTGGGGGCTGCTGAGCTGGGCTTCTCGGGGTCACGTCCTGTGCAGGAAGGTATGGGGCCGCCACAGGCCACAGAGAGACGGTGCCTGTCCTTAAGCTGTCCCCTGCAGTCGGAGACACCTTCTCATTGCATGTTCAGAATCCTGGAGACTTGCAATACACAACCCACATTCGTGTGTGTGCGTGTGCACCTGTACATATTACCTCGCATCAGGTAAACGGCAACTTCCTCTCTAGCAGGCATCTCCCTTTAGCCCCTTTTAAATATCCTCAGTGCTTGTGTGATACTGGCAGGGGTGCCATGGAAGTTCCTTGGTGAGGAAGGTGACACTGATACAATGTTAAGAATCTGGAACTTGGCCATGCAGGGGCTCACTAGGCTAATCCTCCGCCTTGCGGCGCCGGCACACCGGGTTCTAGTCCCGGTCGGGGTGCCGGATTCTGCCCCGGTTGCCCCTCTTCCAGGCCAGCTCTCTGCTGTGGCCCGGGAGTGCAGTGGAGGATGGCCCAAGTGCTTGGGCCCTGCACCCCATGGTAGACCAGGAGAAGCACCTGGCTCCTGCCATCGGATCAGCGCAGTGCACCAGCTGCAGCGGCCATCTGGGGGCTGAACCAACAGAAAAAGGAAGACCTTTCTCTCTGTCTCTCTAACTCTGCCTGTCAAAAAAAAAAAAAAAAAAAAAGAATCTGGAGCAGTATAGGAATTCATTTTGCAACACAAGTCATTAAGGCAAAAGTGACTCTTCCTGTGTTTCTCAAAGGTCTCTAGACTTTATAGAAGGCCTTCAAAACAAGAGTAAAGTATTATCTTTCCCTCTGTCAGAGAAAGCGTGAGAAGAGACACACAGTGGGTGCTTGGTAAAGTTTCTCTACAGATGACAAGAGAGCAGCAGCCCTGTGCATGCCTCCTGATTTTTAAAAAGACATAGTTATTTATTTGAAAGTCAGAGTTACACAGAGAGAGGGAGAGCCAGAGAGAGAGGGAGAGAGCTCTTACATCCACTGGTTCACTTGTCAGATAACAGCAATGGCCAGGGCCAGGCTAAGCCAATGTCAGGATCCAGGAACTCCATCCAGGCCTCCCATGTGGATGCAGGGGCCCAAGCACTTGAGCCGTCTTCTGCTGCTTTTCCTAGGCCATTAGCAGAGGCTGGGCCAGAAGTGAGGCAGCCGGGATTTGAACCTGCGTCCACATGGGATGCCAGCGCTGCAGGAGATGGCTTTAACCAACAGTCCACAGTGCCAGCCCCTTGGTGTTTTAAACACTACAGATAAAAGTCCTGGATTCAAAGCTCTAATGGAAATATGTCTTTTAAAAGTCTATCTTGTTGGAAATAAGGAAACTATGTGTAAAACCTAATGCCTGTTTATTCAAAAACGTGATGGCTGGGTTCTAGGCAGGGATGGGAGAAAGTCGTTTTAGGGACAGTTTCAATTATTCTAGAGCTCCATCTAGTGAGAAACCAGATTCGTGGGTGTTACTTTTCACAGAGCCAGGGGTGGGTGTTTGGATGAAAAGGAAAACCCTTTACAGCCTTCCTGATGCTTGCCTGCTCTAAGAAAAGTGGGCTCCTTCAGGGACAGACAGAAGCTTGCCCCAGGCTGGAATGAGACCGGACTCCATGGGTGCCCCCCGCCCAGGAGTCAGCTCTGCTGTGTGTGGTCTGCCACTGCCAGCCCAAGGGGGCTGTTCCGACCAGAACCAGAGTGCTGGCTGCAGCAGCCAGCCCCGGGGTCGGGGACCTGCGAGGCCCCTCCGTCTCAGAGTCCCCCTGGGGTGTGGGCGTGCAGGGCGGGCTCACCTGCAGAATGGCCTCCCTCTCCTCATCTGACAGCCTCTTCATGGCCGCCTTCTTGAGGTTCTCCTGGATGTAGCGGTCATACTCTTCTTGGGCCCGCCTGACTTCCTCGTTCCGCATACAGATGTACTTGGGGGTGACCCCATAGTCCTGGAGGGGTTTTTCAGATAGAAGGGAATCAGTCCCCACCCTGAAGGCAAGCATATGAACACACACGGACCGATCAATCAATGGCTGGAGACAAGCGAATGCCAGCCTTACGTCCTGTGATGTCCAGCCAGCTCCCCCTCCCTGCATTGAGAGCCTGGGCCACTGTCGTGGTGCAGGCTAAGCCACTGCTTGCAACGCTGGCAGCCCATATCACAGTGCTGCTTCAAGTCCTGGCTGTTCCACCTCCTGGCTAACGCACCTGAGCAGACAGACAGCAGAAGATAGCCCCCTAGTGGGAGACCTGGATGGATTTTCGGGCTCCTGGCTTTGGCCTGGCTCAGCCTTGGCCACTGTGGCCATTTAGGGAGTGAACCAGAGGATGGAAGATTGCCTTTCCCTCTGTAACTCTGCTTTTCAAATAAGTAAAATAAGTAACTTTAAAAACAGACCATCTGCATTGTTATTGCAGCCGCTTGCTTTCCTCTTGCAGATGTTCGCAGCACCTGCTCTTGGTTGAGGACTTGGCTGCCATCTTACTCACCCCAAAGAGTTAGCTCTTTCTCCCAGATTCTGCCCCTCCAATCTTTTTTGTGCTTCAGCAATTACCTTAAAATATCTTGACATCGCTCTTCCTTTTCTTTTTAAAACTATTTATCTGAAAGGCAGAGTGAGAGAGAGAGAGAGAAGGAGAGACAGAGAGAGAACTTCTATCCTCTGGCTCACTCCCCAAATGGCTGCAATGGCTGCGGCTGGGCCAGGCCAAAGCCAGAAGACAAGAACTCCACCCAGGTCTCCCAGATGGGTGCAGGGGCCCAAGCACTTGGACTATCGTCCAGTGTTTTCCCAGGAGCATCAGCAGGGAGCTGGATCAGAAGCGGAACAGCTTGAAACTCAAACTGGCGCTCCATTTTGGGATGCCAGTGTTACAAGCAGCAGCTTAACCCACTACTCCGTGGTACAGGCCCGAGGTCTCTTTCTCATGGGCTCACTAAGTAAAAGAAGACAAACACTCCCAAGGCATCATAACAATAAACCCTCCACAGACAGCCCGCGTACCCGCTTTAAGAGGAAACTGGCTTTGGAAAGGAGGCTGTTTCTGGAAATGCATGTACGTGTTTAGGCATCCTGGGCTGCTTATGAGGACGGGCAGTGAGGCCATCAGCTGTGGGTTCGTCCAGATTAGGGCAGGCCCTGCTGTCACTGCTCTGTGTTCATTCCGCAAAGAAGTTTTTGGGGGAATACTTGGGGTGAAGTAGGAGTCGAAGAAGAGCCAAAGTTGCAGTGCCTGTGGGGTCTGCAGTCCATGGCTTAAGAGACACTCATCAAAAACAGTAAAATCAAGGAAAGTGAGGGGAAGAAGACACAGGGCTGTTGGATCAGTAAGGAGGTGAGGAAGACTTCCCTGAGGGAGCAGCAGCTGAGAGGGCTGGAGGGGAGTTGTTGAAACCATTCACAGGCCCGGCGCTGTGGCACAGCTGGTAGAGCTACCGCCTGCAGTGCCTGTATCCCATATGGGCACCAGTTCAAGTCCCAGCTGCTCCTTTTCCAACCCAGCTCTCTGCTGTGGCCTGGGAAAACAGTGGAAGATGGCCCAAGTCCTTGGGCCCCTGCACCCACGTGTGAGGCTTGGAAGAAGCTCCTGGCTCCTGGCTCCGGATCAGCCCAGCTCTGACCGTTGCAGCCATTTGGGGAGAGACCAACGGATGGAAGACCTCTCTCTCTCTCTCTCTCTCTCTCTCTGTGTGTGTGTGTGTGTGTGTCTCTGCCTCTCTGTAACTCTGCCTTTCAAATTAATAAATAAAACTTAATAAATAAGTAAATAAATAAAACCGTTCACAAGCTCTGGCTCTTCTCTGGGACACTCAGTAGAGCGATGCTTCCCTGCTCTGGAGGTGGGATGTGGCCACATGCCCTCAGCACGCGCCAGCTTCCTGGGACTGTCCAGATTACCTGGCCCAGGCCACTTCCACAGGAGAGGCTTGCCTGGCTCACGGTTTCGGAGGTTCAAGTCCAGGATCGGCAGCCCCGTTTGTGTGGCCTCTGATGAGGGTGGTGGGTGACAACGGCAGAAGCGTGTGCGGAGTGAGTGGCCCTATCTTGAGCCAAGGGGCAGAGAGAGAACTGGTGGACCCGAACTCAGGCCTTGGCCCCACCTCCTCCTGGTTCCTCCACATCTGATGGCGCCACCTTGGGGACTGAGCTTTTAACACAGGGATCCTCGGGGGACTTTCCACACCCACACCAGAGCCCCCGCTTTGGCCCAGTGCGAGATGTGACCTCTGCAGCTTCCAAACGGAAGCCTGAAGATGCTGTCTCATCTGGATGAGTGTCCAGCAATATTCTGGGTTTTCCGACTCCTGGAAGGAGGTGGACAGGAAGCAGAGCCCCGACTGCCTTCCACGGGCCTGCGGCACAACAGGCAAGAAGAGGCAGTGGCTTCAAGCTGTTGTCTGTTCTGTCCGGAGTGAACGCGGGATGGGAACCCTAGAGGTCAGAGTGTTCTGGGGGCACAGGCTGGGGGAGTGCAGTGGTGAGCAGTGACACAGAGACGGAACTGCACCGGGCACGCCCCGTGTAAGAGAGAAAGCTCGCTGACACTGCCCGGAAGATGCCTCCCTGCGGGCTGGGCTGAACGGCGGAGAGGGTGGCCTGGTGCTGATACGGAGGAGGGCGGGCAGGCCAGCTCCGTGCACCTGCTATCTAACTCACTGGGCCACGCGCAGGTCTCGGGGCAGGGATGCAACGCTACCTTTTTATTGATGTACTTGGGAAGGAGCCCTGAAGTCTCCAGATCGTGCTTGTCCCCGGTTCTCTTGTCCACGTAGACAGGTTTGGGCTTCTTAGCCACTCCCATGATGACGTCCGCTGCGTTCGTGTTGATAAAATTCTTCCCGCTCTGAATGCCCATCACCGGGTGCTCGGTCCTCAACGGCACGGCAGGCTTCCTGGGCTCATTCCATTCAAACTTCTTTTCTGTTACACACAGCATTTCCTCGTCAGTGTGACGCCACAAACGCTGCTACTGGGTACTACTTAACGACATCCACACATCTTGCAGCTTGAAACTGGAGTTTTACTAATAACACAGCCAAGCATTTATGGTACAACGTCTCTACTTAGCAAGCTGTACAGATCTCAGACATGTACAGCATTTTCTGGGAAAACGACTCCTCCACAAAGTGGTTTAGAAAAAGGAAAAAAAATCCATAATCACAATGATAAAAAATTACTGCGAAGTAATCAGTTAGTATGTTGGAAAATAGTGTAACTACTGGAAGGAGAAGGATAAGCCTTCCCCAAATTATAGACAAGCTAACCAAGACATGCACATTTTTACTGGCTACCAGCAACAGATATTCAGATTTCCCACTTAAAATAAATTTAAATGAGAAAACACTTTTTTTAGTAGTATTAATATTACCAATAAGTGTTTCTTCAGAGGAAAATTATCATTTAAAAAAATCAACAATTAATCAAACCTGAGGTATTGAAGGTACAAAATTCTACAGTTAAACTACTATTTTAAGATATAAAAATCATGTACTGGCTGTATGGCCAACATGCAGCTAAACCAATAAAACATTGCCAATAATTCAGGAGTGGGTGCTGGGCCCCGTGTGTCACACACCTGCGTCTCACATCAGAGCACCTGGGTCCAGCCCCGTCCCTGGCTCTTCACTCCGGCTTTGCCAGTGCAGTGGGGATGGCTCAGGTAACAGGGTGCCTGCCACCCACTCTGGGAGACCTGGATTGAGTTCCTGTTCTTGGCTTTGTCCCTGGACCACCCAACCCGGCCACTGCACACTTTTAGTGAGTGACTCGGTTGCATGGAGCTCTCTGTCTCTCTTACCAACATAGTTCCAATTTCTCGACAGCTTCTCCCCTGATGGCATCTCACATCCTGAAGTACTACCAGGAATGATTTACTTGTCTACGTCATGTTCTCTGCACCGTGACACAGCAGGTGACATCGGCTGCCTTTCCAGGCCTCTTCAGCTCGGCTGCTTCAACCTTTGGATAGCGGCCCAGCACGACGGCTTGTCAAAGTGCTGAACACAAAGTCACTGTCCACCCTTAACCCTGCTACATCCCCTAGGGACTTGGTCTTTGCTCATTTACTGTTTCACCTGGGTATGAGTTTATACATCTTCTGTTTTCAGGTAGAACAATAAACATGGTTAAAAGTCTAGGGACTGCGGACTGGCGCTGGGCTAAGCTTCTGCCTGTGGCGCTGGCATTCCATATGGGTGCCAGGTTGTGTCCGGGCTGCTCCTTTTCCGATACCTCCTGCCACGTGGGGAGTGAACCAGCGGATGGAAGACCTTTCTCTCTGTCTCTCCCCCTCTCTGTCTGTAGCTCTCCCTCTCAGATAAACAACATCTTTAAAAGTCTAGGGACTGGGTTGGCCTCTCCTTAGAGAATAAACTGTGTTGCTCCAGAATTCTTGTGTTGAAGTCCTAACCCCCAGGACCTCAGGATGTGACTGTGCATTGGAGACAGGGTCTATAAACAAATAATTAAGTCCAAGTGAGATTGTCCGGGTGGTCCTGATCCAATGTGTCTAGAGCAGGAAAAGTGGACACAGACATACACACAGGGAGGCCAGGTGAAGACACGGTGTACAAGCCCAGGAGAGAGGCCTCAGGGGAAAACCACGTGGCCCCGCCCTCAAGCCGCACTTGACCGGCCTTCACCAGCCTGACCACACCCTGAGTTTCTAGATTGTTCTCAAGGCCAGCGAGATTCTGGGCTTCCTTGAGATGCTTGCAAGAGGAGGGCCGGGGTTCCTTCCCCTTTCTTTACTCGATACACAGGATTTATCCTGCGGGGTAGCTGTGCTGTGAATATGCTTAGCCCCAGAGAAGACACCCATGACCCCTGGGGAAACCACTGGCCTTGGCCCTGTAGGACCGAAAGCAGTTAAATTTGTTTCACTGGTTTTCAGTATTCTCAGGTGACGGGGTGAGAAGTACCTGCCAGGAAAGATGCCAGCCAACAGCAGATCAGAGAGACACTGGCGTCACAGATAGAGCATGGTGCTGTAGGTTCTTTTTTCTTTAAAGCACATGGTTTGCTAATTAATTGAGAGAGAGAGAGAGAGAGAGAGAGAGGCACCACCTGCTGCCTCTCGGGGTGTGCTTTCCCTGGAGAGCAGAAGCCGGACTCGGACTCGTGCACTCTGATGTGGGATGCCTGGCAGGGCAGTAGAGGATGGCCCAAGTCCTTGGGTCCCTGCACCCACATGGGAGACCGGGAAGAAGCTCCTGGCTCCTGGCTTCAGATCGGCACAGCTCTGGCCATTGCGGCCGTTTGGGGAGTGAACCAATGGAAGGAAGATCTTTCTCTCTGTCTCTCCCTCTCATTGTAACTCTACCTCTCCAATAAAATCTTTAAACACACACACACACACACACACACACACACACACACACACACACAGCCCTGGGCAAGCTTGAGATTTTTGCATTATTTCCTTGATGGGCAGACGTACAAAGGCAAACACTGTAAAAAAGACAGACTCACTTCTCTCCTTTATCACCCTGAGACATCAAGGAAGACACAGCTAGGCTGGGAAGAAAGTCCTCCCGTGTACACTTTGTCACTCTCAATTTTCCTACGGCTTCCCTTCCTGAAATCAATACACTCAGAGCAAGATTAACTGTGATTTTAAAGGCCCTGGACAAAATAAAAACGCAGGGCTCCTTGATCAAAAACAATTAAGGATTTCAAAACAACAGGAGCAGATCGTTAAACCAAACACGAACCCCTACTAAAGCGTGGGGTCCTGTGCAACGGCACTGGTAACACAGCACGACGCTGGCTCTGTCCCTCAGACATTCACCCTTCCTGGGTGTGGCCTGGGAGAGCGGAGGCTGATGATGGTCACAACAGGAGCCCGGCAGTGCTTCAACAACAGGCGGTAATGGTGGCAAATTTCACCTCTTGGGAATAAGACCAGGGAAGGGTTAGGAGCAAGACAATCTTGCTCATGAACCAGACACCGGCTCTGGGGACCAGCACTCTTATTGTAGGTGGTGCTCACGGTCGAAGCCCTGTGGCGGGGGATTAAGACGGTGAGGCGTGTCAGGCAGGAGCCGGGCATCACTGGAGAGCACAAAAAATAGTTTGAGAGTCTTGCCTCCTCCAAAGTCTAGTCAGGGGGCAACTTACTACTCTCTTTTCTTTGTTCCTACTGTGTTCTCAACTCCGGCTTCCTCCTAGCCATACACATTCTGTTTAACTGCAGGTAAAGTTGCTATCACCTGTGTGTATTTCATATTCACTGACAATAAAATCATCTTACTAAATTGCCACGTTATTTAAATGACCCAAATTTATTTTTTAAAAAGAAAATGATGAAAAAATAAAGAAACGCAACCTACTGGGTGGTAGAGTTTTTTCCTTGGAGTGTTTCTTTAGGAACTCCTTTGGAGAAGGTACCTCCACTTTGGCTGGCCCCATGGTTTTCATTGCCGCTTTGTATTTCTGCATGTCGTTTTTTACGGCTGCCTTAAAAATGGATATGTACCTAAAATTAAAGTCAAAGAGTTGTAGCGTTTATGTTTCTAGTAGGAACTAAAGTTCCAAAACAGGCGTACATTTCTGATGTACGGGAGTGTGTATTCCTGTGACTAGCAGTGGTCAGCGCACTTATCTGAGCTCCACGGGAGCTGTGCGCTGGGAGAGGTGCCACATAGAGTCCCCTTGCTGCTTCTTGAACACCTGTAGTGCCCCTAGCAATGCCGCCTCTCTACACTACTGATTTGTGCTCCTTTCTCCTCTCTCTGCCGACAGGCTTGCTAAGAGGTGATGAATTTCATTCATCTCCCACAGAGCCAGAACTTCACAGTTTTTCTCTAATGCTCATCTGTTTTCCAGTTCAAGGATGTCTAATTTCTTTAATTTCTTCTCCTTAGTTTGGGTTTAATTTATACTTTTTTTTGCATTTGCATTTTATTTTAAACCTTTTTGTTTTTATATTATGTGCTTAAAACTATAAAATTCTCCCTAATCTCCACATTAGCGACAACTTCTGACATACCATGTTCGATTTTCATTAAATCCAAAATACCTCTTAAATTGCATTTTGAGGGGTGGGCCTTGTGGCACAGCAGATTAAGCCGCCACCTACAACACCAACTTCCCCTAATGAGCGTTGGGTGAGTCCCAGCTGCTGCACTTCTGGTCCAGCTCCCTAATGCACCTGGGAGAGCAGTAGATGGCCAGAGTGCTTAGACTGGGAGGAGTTCCTGGCTCTTGGCTTCCATCTGGCCCAGCCCTGGCCATTGAGGCCATTTGGGGTGTGAACCAGCAGATGGAAGATCTTTCTCTCTGTTTCTGTCTCTCTGTAACTCTGACTTTCATATGCATATACATAATTTTTTGAAAGTTTAATTTTGATAGCATTTCTTTTTTAAAATTTTTAAATTTAAATAAACTTAAAAGTTTAAATTGTTTGGTTTTCATGTAGTTGTATTTTTCTTTTTTCTTTTTTCTTTTTTTTTAGGATTTATTTATTTGAAAGGCAGAGTTACAGAGAGAGGTAGAGACAGGTCTTCCATCCGCTGGTTCACTCCCGAGATGGCCGCAACAGCCAGAGCTGTGCTGATCCGAAGCCAGAAGCCAGGAGCTGCCTCCGGGTCTCCCATGCGGGTGCAGGGGCCCAAGGACTTAGACCATCTTCTACTGCTTTCCCAGGCCACAGCAGAGAGCTGGATTGGAAGAGGAGCAGCCGGGACTAGAACCAGCGCCCATAAGGGATGCCGGCGCTTCAGGCCAGAGCTTTAACCTGCTGTGCCACAGCGCCAGGCCCTGTAGTTGTATTTTTCTAAGTATCTAATTTATTTCAATGTGGTTAGGGAATATTCTTTGTAGGATCACAATCCTTTCAAACTTTTGGACTTATTTTTTGTCACGAATTGTAATCCATTTTGTTCAATTTTTGGCTACATTTGAAGAGAGTATTCTACTGCTGTTAGCCGGAGTGTTCTGTCAGTGAGTTTGGTCAAATTGGTTAATAGTGTTTTCAAGTGTTCTATATCCTTAGTGATTTTGTGTGTTTGTTCTATTAGAGAGAGGTTAAGATCTCTGAATATAACTGTGGATTTGGCTATTTCTCCTTCTAATTCAAATAGCTTTTTCTGTATGTATTTCAAAGTTCTGTTGGTAGGTATATGGCATTTTCTTTCAAACGGACCTCGTCACCTTTGTGAAATGACACTACCTCCTTTAATTCTGTACTGTAAAATCTACCCTACCTGATGTTCGCAGAGCCATTCCAGCTTTCCTCTGAGTGGTGATGGAACATTGTTTTTCCATTCTTGGACTCTAACCTGTCTGTGTCTCTATTGTTAAAGGGGTTGGCCGGCGCCGTGGCTCACTAGGCTAATCCTCTGCCTGCGGCACCGGCACACCGGGTTCTAGTCCCGGTCGGGGCGCTGGATTCTGTCCCGGTTGCCCCTCTTCCAGGCCAGCTCTCTGCTGTGGCCAGGGAGTGCAGTGGAGGATGGCCCAAGTGCTTGGGTCCTGCATCCCATGGGAGACCAGGAGAAGCACCTGGCTCCTGTCTTCGGATCAGCGCAGTGTGCCAGCCACAGCGCGCCAGCCGGGTTGGCCATTGGAGGGTGAACCAACGGCAAAGGAAGACCTTTCTCTCTGTCTCTCTCTCTCACTGTCCACTCTGCTTGTCAAAATAAATAAATAAATAAATAAATAAATAAAAATAAAATAAGGGGGGGGGTTCCTCATAGACAACACTGAAATTTTATCCAATCAGCAATCACTTTTATTTGGCATGTTTGGACTACTCACATTTAGTGGGAGTTTAAAAAAATGTTGTAATTTTTCCATCTTCCTTCCTCTCTTCTATGTTTCACGCTGCTCATTCTCTTTTTACCCTATGCGTTGTCTTTTTGTTTTATTTTGTTTTGCTTTCGCACAAATCCTAGCTTTTCCATGTATGTGTTTAACTTATTACAGATACTCAGGTACTACTGTACCACTTCCTGTGTGGTGTAAGGAACATGTGTGAGAATACTTGTGTCCATCCCCACCTTTGCTCTGCTGTTACTACATCTTCTCTCTCGACGTGTGTGTAGAACCCATAACTCGTGGCGATTATTTCCCCTTTATATAGCCAGCAGTATATTAAAGACATTTGAAAAAATGTATTTACCTGTATCTTTACTATTCCCAGTGTTATTCCTTCTGTAATGTAAATTCAAATTTCCAACTGGTACCATTCCTTCTGCATAAAGGACATTTTTTTAATAAAGAAATATTTGTTTATTTTAAGGGCAAAGTGACAGAAGAGAGCAGAGAGAGGGATGGGGAGAGACAGAGACAGAGAGATCTTTCCTCCATTGGTTCACTCCCCAAATGCCAGCAACAGCCATGGCAGGGCCAGGCCCAAGTCAGGAGCCAGGAGCTCCATCTAGGTCTCTCCAACAGGGGTGGCAGGGACTCAAGTACTTGAGCCATCGTCTGCTGCCTCCTAGGGTGCGTGACCAGGCAGCAGACGGCTAGGATTCAAGCCAGGAACACCCATAGGGGATGTGCGTGTCCCAAGAGCACCTTAACCTGCTGCACCACAGTGCCCACCCCGCGCTCAAAGGGTGTTTCAAACTTCTGCCTTCTACCGGTTCTGATGAGGCATCTGCTTTTCCTCTTCTGTGTGCAGTGTTTCTCGTTTTAATCTGGCTTTTTAAAGATTTCTCATTTTACTAATTTCAGTGAGGTTGACTCTGATGTCTCAGCATGGTTCTTTTTTTTTTTTTTTTTTTTTTTTGACAGGCAGAGTAGACAGTGAGAGAGACAGAGAGAAAGGTCTTCCTTTGCCGTTGGCTCACCCTCCAATGGCCGCCGCTGCTGGTGCACTGCGTCCGGCGCACCGCGCTGATCCGAAGCCAGGAGCCAGGTACTTATCCTGGTCTCCCATGGGGTGCAGGGCCCAAGCACTTGGGCCATCCTCCACTGTACTCCCTGGCCACAGCAGAGAGCTGGCCTGGAAGAGGGGCAACCAGGACAGAATCCGGCACCCCAACTGGGACTAGAACCTGGTGTGCCGGCGCCGCAAGGCAGAGGATTAGCCTAGTGAGCCGTGGCGTCAGCCATGGTTTTTTTGTTGTTTTGTGCTGGGGGCTCACTCTGATTTTGGGATTGGTGGACTTCCAGATCTTTTCAAATCTGACCATCTCTTTTTACTTTTATTCAAATATTTCCTCTGCTCATTTCTTTCCTCCGCTTCTGTGATTCCAATTGCATCTGCATTATTAGGCTGCTTGGTGTGCCCAGCCCACTGGTTCCATTTTTTTCCTTTTTTATTCTTTTATTCTTTTTTCTGTTTAACGTTTGCATTCCTCCACTACTAAGTCTTCAAACACCTGTGGTTGCATTAAGTGATGCGGTCCTATTGCTGCATACCTGCCGCATTCCTTAAGGCGTGGACAGCTCTAGGGCGCTGCTCTGGGGCCAGAGCGTCTGTCTGATGAAACCCTCATTCGCAGCAGCACACTCCACTCTCCTCCCTCCAGCAGCCATGGGTAAGTGCATTTCTGGCTGTGCACCAAAAACACTTGTACTGGGGCTGGCGCTGTGGCACAATGGGTCAAGCTACAGCCTGTAGCGCCAGCATCCCATATGGGTGCTGCTGGTTTGAGTCCCAGCTGCTCCACTTCAACCCAGCTCCCTGCTAATGTGCCTGGGAAAGCAGCAGAAGACGGTCCAGGTGCGTGGGCCCCTGCCACCCACGTGGCAGTTCCGGGCTCCTGGTATTGGCCTGGCCCAAATGGTTAGGCCATTTGGAAAGTGAACCAGCGGATAGAGGATTCTCTGTCTCTCCCTCTCTCTGTAACCCTGCCTTTCAAATAAATAAATAAATCTTTGTTGTTGTCGTTGTTTTGAAGAATACTTGAGCTTCTCTTCAGTTACTGCTTGGCCTTGCCTTTGTTTGTAGACAGTGTCATTGCAGTGGGTTTTTTTTTTTTTTAATGGTGTAGTAGGTTTTTTTTTTTTTAATTTATTTATTTTATTTGCCAGTCAGTTACACAGAGAGAGAAGGAGAAGCGGGGGGCAGGGGAGTGTTCACTCCCCAAATGGCTGCAATGGCTGGAGCTGCACCAATCTGAAGCCAGGAGCTTCCTCCAGGTCTCCCACGTGGATGCAGGGGCCCAAGGACTTGGTCCATCTTCCACTGCTGTCCCAGGCCACAGCAGAGAGCTGGATCGGAAGTGGAGCAGCTGGGCCTCAAATCGGCGCCCATATGGGATGCCGGTACCACAGGTGGCGGCTTAACCTGCCAAGCCCCAGCCCCAGCCCCAGCCCCAGCCCCAGCCCATTTTGTTTTTGTTTGTTTGTTTGTTTTTAAAGAATCGTGGTAAAGATCTTCTCTCGTGGGCTGCTGCCTGGAGCAGTTCCGAGTCGCCTGTGGACAGGATGTCAGCACACACAGCGGGTTTTCCAGCGTGTATCTCACGGAGCGCCGTGGGCAGCATTTCTTATTTCTCAGCCCTTGTTTCCCCCTTTGCGCTG